TACACTGGTTATCACTAGCTTTACACTGGGTTTAAATGGGTTTAAACTGGTTTTAAACTGGTTTTACAGTGGTTGTACACTAGCTTTGCACTAGTTTAAACTGGTTTAAACTGGTTTTAAACTGGTTTTACACTGGTATTGTACTGGTGTTACACTGGGTTTGTACTGGTTTTACTGTGGTTTACACTGGTTTTAAACTGGTTTCAGACTGGTTTTGTACTGGCTTTATACTGGTTTTGAACTGGTTTAGACCAGTTTTATACTGGTTTTTGCTTTGCTTTTAGACCAGTTCTAGACTTGGTTGTGGACTGGTTGGTGGTGGACACAATAACATAAACAGCTGCAGGTGAGCGGCAGCACTCACCTGGTCTCTTCTTCGTCCTCATCCTCCTCCGTACACAGGGACGACGTGCTGCCTACACCTGACTGGAAGCTCCGCCCCCACTCTTCCTCGTCCCCCTGATTGGACAGACGCAGAGTCAGATTGGGGTGATTGATCGGCTGATTGGCTCTGAGGTAAAGGATGACGACATCATGAGAGCAGGGCTTGATGGGAAACGTCAGGCTCTGGTTGGTTTGGATGTTTCATCAATGAGCTCAGGTTTCACAGAAACATCTCTATTTTTGTTGGGTCTGAAATTGGACTTATGAAGGAATTAACTGATGAGTTATCAGTGTATTGATCAGGAGGCGCTTGTGTTGTTTTCTGAGCTGTAAACCTTCAGAGGACTGAAGCCTCAAAGAGACGAGCAGGACGACACGATGAGGCGAGGTCAAAAAGTACAGAGGCTTCAACGCTGTCCCTGAAAATCTGTCCAAAATGAGTCCAAATGTGTCTAAAATTACAAAACAACAACATGTCATGAACCAAAGGGGCTCAAACTGTGTCTGAAATGATGCAAAATAAGTTAAAAGTTGCCTGAAATGACTAGTTTGTCCAAAATTACCCAGAAATGGATAAAAGTGAGTCAAAAACTGCTGCCTCTCAGTGCTGTGTCAGAAGCCTACAGTCCTGTCGCTCAGCTGAAAACACGAGCAGAGGGCCGAGTGACCAAAGACAATTCATGGCTGGAGTACAAGCAGAGATTCTGTGATCTTGGAAAGCATCTCAGAGAGCTCTCGCCGGGAGCTCATGGCCTCAGGGGAAGTGTGAGCCCACTGCACATGCTCAGTAGCGTCTGCCTTCTCGACAGTGTGATGGAAACAAAGCCAGCTTTTACGAACATGACACTGATGGATAAGACCACAAACAGAAACTGTTGGGCCCTCTGTGACGGATGATGTCAGTGATGATGTCAGTGATGATGTCACTCTACCTGCGGCACCAGGGAGGGCTCAGACCGGAAGCAGCTCCTGACCTCAGGGTCAAAGGTCCAGTTCCTAAAAACTCCCTGTGAGGCAGACAGTCAGACAGACAGACAGGCAGACAGACAGTCAGTCAGACAGTCAGTCAGACAGACAGACAGACAGACAGNGAAGGTCCAGTCACTGGTGGATCAGAACTCCTGGATAGAACTACACCACTCTGTTAATGTACTCAGTAACTGTATTTAGTTACAGTTACATGAGTAACTTACCTGCAGCTGCTGCAGCTCCACCTTCAGTCTGGAAACGTTGCTTTCTGCTTTCACTGCTCGTCTCTGATTCACACAGAAATGATCATGTTCAGCCTTTAAACAAACAGTTTGGTCAAACAGACGTTTCAGGGTTTTCAACCTGAGCAGGTGAGTTCAGGTGTGCTGCTGCTGCTGCTGCTGCTGACCGTCATCAGGTGCAGGTTCTGCTCCACGGAGTGAACCATGTTCTCCAGGTCCTGGGCCTCCTTCTCCTCCTGACGCCTCCTCTGCAGCAGCTCCTCCGACAGCTCTGCCGCCCTGCAGCACAGAGGCATGCTGGGTAAAATGCGGAGCCGCTACTGCTGCCATGTGATTGGTCGGAGCTCACCTGCGCTGGCTGGCGTCGGCTCTCCTCTGCAGCTCCCTGAGGGTTCTCCTCAGCGACATGTTCTCCTCCTGCAGCTGAGGACACAGCAGGCTGTTGTTATGAGGTAGACTTCTTTCAAACACTTTTTACGACATCCTATACTTTGAAAGTTGATGTTCAGACTCAGGGAGGCGTCCAGAAGTCCATCAACAATCCGTCTGACTTCCGTTTGCGTCCGTCCACGAAACACTGCAGCTGCTCCAAACGGACTCTTTGACTGAACTTTATCAGACATTGGCTAAAAGTCATGACACAATAAAAGTGTTGTGGTGGATCCAGTCAGTCTGCCAAAGATAACTCCAGCACACTCACTGTTCACGTCTGACCCGTGCTGCTGGACTTACCTGAGCTACCTGGCTGCTCCGCCCACTCCTCCTCCTGCAGGAGCTGCTTGGTTCAGCCATGGACGTCTCGTCATCTCCTTCGTAGTTCTCTCCTGCTGCTGCTGCTGCTGCTCCTTCCGGTTTGGATGAAAACCTTCAGAGAGGTTGGACAGAACACACGGAGCACTGAGAGCTTCCACCTGAGCACCAGGTGAGCTCACCTGAGACAGGCTCTGCTCATCACACCAGGTGTCTGTTTCTATCTCCAGCAGTCAAGAAAAAACTCCAAATCTGTATCATGTCGGACAGAAACAGACGAATCCTCTGTTTACGTAGAAAACGTTGATTCAAGGAGCTCAGTGCATCACGACCAGAACAAATGGATACAGACTGGTTTCAAACTGGTTATACACTGGTTATCACTAGCTTTACACTGGGTTTAAAC